TAGTTTAGCTTTTTTTTTTTCTATTTGGGAAGGGGACATGTGATCAGCACAGAGCCATTCAGCAAAGAACAGACAGCGGATCAGAGGTTATGCAGCCTCATAGGACAATCCGAGCAGAATGAAAACTCCTCCTACAAGCTTTAACCTGTGCTCAGCTGGACACTGATAGAAGTCACAAGACTGCTATATACTGTTGATGAGAAAAGGTATTTAGCAGTTTATATTTGATAAAATAATTGCATATCCATGTTCTGTGTACTGTGGGAGGTCAGATATAGTGAATGCAGGGTCCTGGGTTTAGTAACACTTTAAAGCCACGGAACTGAAATTGTAAAATCCCTGGTTCAGATAGGGGGCCTATGCAGAAGCCAGCTGCTGCCATGAGGAAGTTTAGGCACACCAGAAACAAACGTCTGCAGAAGCCAACTGCTACCATAATGCCAGGAACAGACCTTGTCTCTGTTAAAACTGGTTCAGCAGTTCCAAGCAATACAGTTGGAGAATCAAGGAGTCTATGCAGATGCAGCGAATTGTCTGAAGATGTTGGTTGCCTTTAGTAGCAACCAGGGCCAACCTCATTGCTCCTTTTCTGTCAGGTGAACTGCAAAAGGCTTATGATTTCGCTGCCAGCCACACAAAATTATGCCTGGCTAAGGCGGGTAGTTTTAGCTTTTCTTTTGGTGACTGTTGCTGTCCAGATCCTCATGATGCATTGCAGAAAGTATCACTCTAGTCATTCACTTCGGTTCCAGATACATGAGCTGCTACAACTGATCACTAAATGGTTGCAGTCAGAGAAGTTAACATGACTTCAGATCACGGGAATGGTCGCCATGGACCACTGCTTATGGGCGCTGCCAGGGGAGCTTCAGCTTTGGGTTATCAACAGGGAGCCCTAGATGATGGACTGACTGTGGAGCATTGGAGTGTGGAGAGTAAAGCCATATACAAACTTGGGATTCATTACAGAGTCTGAGAGCAACTACCCCAGCGTTCCGGAGCTCAGACTGCTCTGACACGGAAACACAGGAACTTTCTGTGCTGGTGGTGTCACACCCAGGGTCATATCTAGGCTTGGTTCCCCCTACTAAAGGAACCCATGGCCTGTGGAGCCATTTGGAGGATGCCCTTTTACGAACCATTGGCGCTTTATAAATACTGTATAATATAATAATAATACAGGGGGTCTGTACTACCCACCAGGATCTCACTTAGGGGTGGTTTTTAATGTGTTATTTGGATGAACTAACTTCATGCCAGGGCGCTTCTGGATTTAGATAGTATGGTGACCCTTGTGAATACTAGGGTGATGGGGAGAGTTGGCCTTGTAAAAAGAATATTATATTGTGTGTACATAGAAACACTAAGGATTACTCACTAATGCCTGTGACAGTAACCACCGCATGTGGCATGATTACACAGGAGGTTGTGGTGTTACCCACAACATTATAGTAGGATGGGACTGCCCTCTCTTTGTTGAACTGTGGGACTATGTGAGCAGAGGACTGTCTGAACAATGTGATATTTTTGTTCCCTTTGAATGAGGGGGGGCAGTGTGAGTTGGCAGACTCTAGTATATGATGGTGGTGAAAGTGTTGATGTTGCACCTGTGGTAGATGGTCTATAGGCCAAGGATTCCCCTGCAGGGGGTAATATCCTCCTATGCAGGTCATGGTTGGGGATGATGTAGAGAAACTTCCCCACCATAGGGTCTGTCTGAGGAAGAAGGGGAAGGCACCTCTAGTCCAGTGCATCCTGACATGGAGGTGTCAAGGGGTGCATATGGTGACGCCCAAATGTGGGACCTCATGTTAAAAAATGCCAGAGAACAAGTCACAGCGGTTAATGTAGTATCACAAGTACCTTTGGCTGAAAGAAGGTTCACACACTGTAGTCAATAGTGATTTGCTATAACTAGTCACCAAAGTCTGTGGTAAAGTTACTGCTCCCCCAGCCTTTTAAACACATGGTACTCGACTTGGCTCACAGTGATGTATTGGAAGGTTGCCTGGGGGTCAAGAAAACAGCCACGGATAACAAATCAGTTGTACTGGCCGGTAGTCACTGTTGAATTAAAAAGATTTTGCTTCCTGTCCCACTTGGCAGCTAACCGCACCAGTGTCGCATTTTCGGAACTTCCCTTGGTGCCTTTGCCTTTTATCGAGATACCGTTTGAGCATATTGCAATGGATCTGAGGGTTCCCCAAGTGAAATTGACCCAGGGTCACCTGTATATTCTTGTACTACTTGATTATGCAACAAGCTAGCCAGAGGCAGTACCTCAGAGGAAGACCTTCAATGGATTGATTGGGAACTATTATGTTTTTAAGAATTCATGCTGAAGTTGATGGCAGACTTGTGAAAGTTGTTGATCAAACAACTGCGTTCTTCTGTATATCACTCACAAATAGACTAGTCAAGAGGTTTAAAAAGAAAAATCTGTGCTCACGAGAGTTGTAAAAAAATATTGTGACTGCTTACTCCCAGCACTGTTTGTCATCAGAGAGGTATCTAAAGCCTCCACTGGGTTTTCCCCATGCGAGTTGGTGTATGGGTGAAAACCTTGTGGGTTGCTTGACATCTTAAAGAAATCTGGGAAAATAGTCTTCACATAAAATGGTGGTTTAGTATATTGCCCAAATGAGAGATGATCGCTAAGGTGATGCCTCTGGTAAAGGAGCATTTACAGAAGATACAGGAAGCACAGAGAAGGGTGTAAACTTGGTCACCCAAATTTAGTTCCTGGTTGGGGACCAGGTGGCTGTGCTTATACCCACAGTGGGAAGTAATTTTCTAGCCAAATGACATTGGTCATTTGAGGTGGTAAAAAAGGTTGGTGAGGTAAACTATAAGGTACACCAACCTGGGAAGTGGAAGCCTTATCAATTCTGTTAAAACCCTGGAAATATTGAGAGCAGGTAGCGGCCCTGGCTGAAATCAGTTAAGAGCCCACTGTAGATGTGGAACCTCCTCAGCAGAGGAATAGGGAGATCTGAGGATTCCAAGGTCTTACAAGTGATCATGAATGATGTTACAGAGCCTAATGTAAAACTCTCAGTAAAACCTCATTCCCAGTGCACACAGGAAAGCTCAAACAGAAGATGTTCAGAAAAATGCTCCAACTCTATAATCATTGAGGAGTTGCAGAGTGGAATAGTCAAGCCCGATTTTGTTTGTACTGAACTCCAACTGGGCTAAGCAGTTTTGCAATGACTTCAAAGAACTCTGTGAAGTATCGAAGTTCGATGCATAGCTGATGCTCTGAGTAGACGAGCTGATAGAATTGTTGGGACCAGCTTGGCATTTTACCACCATGAGTTTCACCAAAGGGTACTGGCACATACCTTTTAACTATGGAAGCAAGAGAAAAGGCATTTTCCACACCAGTGGTCATTTCCAATATAAAAGAATGCAATTTGGGTTTCCTTCTGCTCTGGCTAATTTTGGTGAATGGGTAAATTGCTACGTCCTCATCAGAAATGCACCTCAGTATATCTTGATGACATTATTATCTTCAGATGAGACTGTAAGTGTCTTGTTTGTAAGTTCAGGCTGTGTAGGACTTTTTAAAGAAAGAGGTTTACCGCCAGACCTAAGAAATGTGCCATTGGGAGGGAAGAAACAACTACCGATCAGTGACTGCTGCCCCTCTCTGCCAATCCCTTCATTGGCTTCCACTAACCCAACGTATAAAATTCTAAATACTAACAACAACATACAAAGCCATCCACAACACTGCCCCAGCTACATCACCAACCTCATCCGCAGGTATCATCTGCTCCGCTCCTCTCCTCTCCTCTCAAGACATCTTGCTCTCTAGCTCCCTCGTCACCTCCTCCCATGCTCGCCTTCAGGACTTCTCCAGAGCCAGATGGTACTTCTCCCATCCACTGTAACTCCTTACGCTCATATGTCCGGTTAGCTCCCACCCTGTCTGCCTTTAGGCGATCTTTGAAAACTCACTTATTCAGGAAAGCCTACCCCTCCTCCGCCTAAGAACAGTACTTGAGTTGCCTCCATCAGGTGAAAAATAGTTTCTAGGACAAATCTCTCACATTCTACTCCTCTCCCCCCGCCCCTATTTTCCCTTCCACTACAACCGACAATTATCGGCTTCCAAAGTGACAGCAGGAAATTGCTTTGTATTACACAGCAGGAATGACTGTCCAATTGCAGTCTCTTCTGTGTGAAATGTCATATTTCTGAGAATTTTTCAAAATTGGAGCAGACAGAATCGGGAGCATATATGCATCACAACCAGTCGGCTTCTATTTTTCATTTTCAAAGTTTATCCAATTAAGCAGAAGATAAAAGCTGACTGGTTGTCATACACATTGCCCCAGATTCTCTCCCAGTTTTAAGAATTCCCCGCCCCCATTTTAACAATATATTGTATTTTACTATTATGTAGGTGTGACTTGCACAAGACAACAGGTAAACAACCGCTGCGGGTACAAAATAAAATGTATTCCTTTTTCAACCCATTGTTAACCCATAGTATTATCCATAATCCCCCCCCCCCCCCCCCATCAAGTAATAGTAAAAACTCTTCCCCTTGTTTCTTTTTCTGCTGTCACTGAGACAGTGAGTGAGGTGCTCCCCATTGGGATCATGGACTATATTAAAACTTGAAAAAGCATTTACCGTATTTTTCGCTCCATAAGATGCACCTGACCATAAGACGCACCTAGGTTTTAGAGGTGAAAAACAAGAAAAAAAAATATTCTGAACCAATGGACTGCAGACATAGTACAGGGGATGACCAGAGACTGCGGACACAGTACAGGAGATGACCAGAGACTGCAGACATAGTACAGGAGATGACCAGAGACTGCGGACACAGTACAGGAGATGACCAGAGACTGCAGACATAGTACAGGAGATGACCAGAGACTGAGGACACAGTACAGGAGATGACCAGAGACTGCGGACATAGTACAGGAGATGACCAGAGACTGCGGACACAGTACAGGAGATGACCAGAGACTGCGGACACAGTACTGGAGATGACCAGAGACTGCGGACATAGTACAGGAGATGACCAGAGACTGCGGACAAAGTACAGGAGATGACCAGAGACTGCGGACAAAGTACAGGGGATGACCAAGAGACTGCGGACACAGTACAGGAGATGACCAGAGACTGCGGACACAGTACAGGAGATGACCAGGGACTGCGGACACAGTGCAGGAGATGACCAGAGACTGCGGACACAGTGCAGGAGATGACCAGAGACTGCGGACACAGTGCAGGAGATGACCAGAGACTGCGGACACAGTGCAGGAGATGACCAGAGACTGCGGACACAGTGCAGGGGATGACCAGAGACTGCGGACAGTGCAGGGAATGACCAGACACTGCGGACAGTGCAGGGAATGACCAGAGACTGCGGACAGTGCAGGGAATGACCAGAGACTGCGGACAGTACAGGGGATGACCAGAGACTGCGGACAGTGCAGGGAATGACCAGAGACTGCGGACAGTGCAGGGAATGACCAGAGACTGCGGACAGTGCAGGGAATGACCAGAGACTGCGGACAGTGCAGGGAATGACCAGAGACTGCGGACAGTGCAGGGAATGACCAGAGACTGCAGACAGTGAAGGGGATGACCAGAGACTGCTGACCTTTGGGGAGGGAGGGGGAGCGGGTACCTGAATTTGACAGGTACCCGCTCCCACTTCCGCGGAGTTGCCTTCCCTCTTCTTCCCGGGCCGGCTTCTGTGACAGCCGGGTGCCCACTGCGCAGGTGCAAGAAGCGCTTCGCTTTGTGAATGGCCCGGCGCCTTCTGTGACCTTTCATGTGTCCCAGAAGACACCGGATCATTCACAAAGCGCAGCACATGCGTAATGGGCACCCGGCTGTCACAGAAGCCAGCGCGGGAAGACTGTGCAGCGCTGGAGCGAGGAACAGGTAAGGCCCTGCAGGAGAGAACAGCTGAGCGGCCGGCCCGGTATTCTGACATGGTGGCGGCAGAAATACCGGACCGGCCGCTTTACATTCGCTCCATAAGACGCACTGACATTTTCCCCCCTTTTTGGGGGGGAAAAAAGTGCGTCTTATGGTGCGAAAAATACGGTAATTTATCCAAAACGAAAAAAAAAGTTGGGTCGAACCCTAGCAGCAGTCTTAAAAAATGTACCTCCAACCTTCTGGGGCTTACTGTGTAGAAAGTTGGATCCCCCTGCACACAGTAGCTTTGTAAGCACTTACACAGAGGCCTTCACGGAGATAAAAAATAGTTATTTGCTGGGACTTTTAAAGTTGGCTGCTATTACTCTTTCTGAATAGATTTTCAGCTTTATGGATGAACTCGTCTGTTTTTATTACAACCCAATGCAGTAGTCCCAACCTTTTTTCACTTTGGCAGGCCATTACTATATATATTGTATCCCTCCACCACCACCCAACTCAATTTGGGAAGGAAAAGAAGTGACCCCAACATCCACAGCTTGGCTCAAGTCAGTCAGTCGGGGGATAAGAGGAGGAAACCCCCAGTACATCCAGGATCCTCTCCATCATGGGGTCACAGAAGGTAAACTTGACCCTCATTCCATCTGGTCAGTCTTTCCGGAGAAAGCCAGGAGATGACCTCACTACAAATCCAGAGCCCAAGCCCATCACTCGGGAAGGAGGGGGGCACACCTATATTCTCGTTGGACTGATTTGCTAGCCTCAGCATCCCTCTGTTGTTAGCTGACTGGTGAGAGGCACAGGCAGGACCAGTGCGAGGATTGTGCCCCTGAGCTTTAGGCTCTTTTTCTGCCTGCAACATGACAAATGAAAGGAGCTTGAGCACTAGTGAGGTAGGCTGTCACTAGGGTTGGGCATCACCTAAGAATTCAGGTACCCCTAAAGTACTGGAGTGTACCCCAGATAGGGAACTACTGGCCTAATGGAGTCTTGACTAGCTTGCTCTACATTAAAACGTTTGCTATTGACATAGTTTAAAAGGAACCAATGCACAAGACTTGTGGTCTTTTTAATAAGAATGATCAGTTGGATCCTCAGAATATACACTCACCGGCCACTTTATTGGGTACACCTGTTTAATCGCTTGGTGACGCAAATTGCTAATCAGCCGATCACATGGCAGCAACTCAATGCATTTAGGCACCTAGATGTGGTGAAGAAGACTTGCTGAAGTTCAAACCGAGCATCAGAATGGGGAAGAAAGGGGATTTAAGTGACTTTGAACGTGACATGGTTGTTGGTGTCAGACGAGCTGATCTGAGTATTTCAAAAACTGCTGATCTGGGATTTTCACAAACCGCAGAACGAGTCATTGGTTAAGGACACGGTGGCCCTGTAACACAGTAACTACCCATAACAACCAGTAATTGCCGGCATTTTTTGTTTTTGCTGGCTTTTTTTTTTCATTTTAATTTTAGATGGCAGCAGGGAATCCCCGCTGTTAGCTGATAGAACTGAGCCTGAAGGTGTTGGTTTCAAGTTTCGGAGCATTTGCATGAGTACTGATACTTGTGCAGATGCTTGGTATCAGCACCGATACTGGTATCAGTGCAACCCTAGTGTTCGGGGAGATAAATATTTTCTGCCGTTTAGATTGATTCTGTTCACTTGCATTTAATACTTTCCATAACATGCCACAAGGCAGTAATCTGTATTTTACAGTAGATACTGAGGAGCTCTGTGGAGAATACATTGTATGTGCTATGTTCATAAACTCTCTTCTCTTGCAGGACGTGTCTATTATTTCAACCACATGACTAATGCCAGCCAATGGGAGCGACCTACTGCAGGTGGGAAGAATGGGCAAGGTGAACCAACCAAAGTGCGATGTTCTCACTTGTTGGTAAAGCATAACCAGTCCAGGCGTCCTTCATCGTGGCGGCAAGAGAGAATCACACGCACCAAAGAGGAGGCCTTAGAACTTATTAATGGTAGGTAAGCACTTAAGGATCATTAGAGCTCTTATCATGGAAATCATCCACCTTCATAGAGAAAAGAGAGAACCTCTGGGGGCCCTACTAAATTAGACTCTAAATTATATTCCGATATTACACCCCCACTATTGTATTTTGTATAGAGGCCTTGCAGTGCATTGTTACAACTCCTTACACTATTTTGTATCGGGTTTTTTTTTTTTTTGTAACTTATTGTAATATCGCAAAGTTGTATTCAATTCTGTGCGCCAGTGTATAGCATGCATTTACAATAGGGTGAGCTGTGTTATATTAAAATGTATGAAAGTGTAGACATGCTGCATTTTTTACCACCACACATTTTTCTTTTCTGCAACTCAATAACATTTGTATCGTGTTTTTTTTTTTTTTTTTGGATTTTTGGTTGATATTCTGTCTCATCATTTAAAATACAACTATGATAAAATTATAGACCCTTAATTTCTTTGAGTGGGCAAACTTATAAAATCTTCAGGAGATCAAATAATTATTTCCCCCTGTATCTGGTGGTGCACTAAAGCTAGTCATGCACTGCAGGCTGTATGGGAAATAAATTACCATATTCTTCCATCCACACCTATTGAATTTGACAGCCAGCCCTGCTCACTTTCAAAATATTAGAACATTGGTTGCATCTGATTGGATGCAGCTGCTTCTAGCCAACAATTTTCTGCCTGGCTCCTTTGTTAATTTTTACTCGGGGTAAGTCGATCTGGAGGCGGCTGACAGGGCCACCCACTGAGCAAGGAACCAACTGAAATTACCACAGTGCTTGATCAGCGCAAATGTTGGTCCCTAGGGTCATCTATACATTGAGGGGCTTGTGAGTTCTATTCAGAACTGCTTTATGTGAAGGTTTGTTTACTCTAGTACAGTGGGCTCCAAACTGCGGCCCGGGGGCATAATGTGGCCCTTTGCATGCCTTTATCCGGCCCTTGGGGTACTGTTCCTCACACAGATATGAGCCACTTCCTCAAACTGACACCAACAATTTTTTCACTAATAGGAACAATGGGGCACTATTCCTCTCACTGACACCAACAATGGAACACTGTTCCTCCCACCGACGGGGCACTAGCCCTCCCTCTGATGCCAACCATGGGGCACTATTCCTCTCACTGACATCAATGATGGGGTACGAATATTTCCCCTAATACCAAAGATGGGACATTGTTAACTCCCACTGATGCCAGGACATTTTTACTTCCTTTGTCAAAGTTCTGGCCCCCCTAAAGTCTGAAGCACAGTAAACCGGCCCTTATTTTGGAAAGTTTGGAGACCCCCGCTCTACTGGCTAGATACATATGAAGCAGTGAGTATGGGTTTCATGTGCTGTAATTGCTATGCTAGGACTGCTCAGCTCACTAAATTATTGAAAATGACATCTGGATTCTGGTTGTTGTATGCCTGAGAAATTTGACTCTTATACTGAGGCAACAAGTGCGTTATTCTCGGTCTTCCAAATCTAGCACAGGTTATCTTGAATAATACGGGAGATCCAGAATAAACTACACACTTGCAGGAATTCTGTCAATTATTTTCTACAGATTCATGTCTTGCTCTATTACAAAAAAAAAAAAAAACATACTTGCCTTATGTCTTTTCTTCGGCTTCTTTTTGAATGGGTGGGTCCGCCTTCATTTTAACCCCCTGCTTCAGTCTCAGTGATGACATGAGAAGATCTGCAGCATCGAAGTGCATAAACCTTAGGTCTTGTTCACACTAGCTGGGGTGTATCATGCTTCAGATAATGCACCCCCACTACTGTATGTTGTATAGAGGCCTTGCGGTGCATTGTTACAACTCCTTACACTATTTTGTGTGTATTTGTGTGGGTTTTTTTTTTTAACTCATTGTAATGGCGCAAAATTGTATTCAAATATGCGCCACAGTGTATAGCATGCATTTACAATAGAGTGAGCTGTGCTATATTAAAATATATAAAAGTGCAAACATGCTTCATTTCTTAGCACACCACCATGTCCTTGCATTGATGAACGCAGCTCCATAGACATGCTTGCTTCATTTCTTAGGACATACAGAAAAAAACGTGTGGTGGTGTGCTAACATTGAACATGCATTGATAAACGCAGCTCCACAGACATGCTATGAATGAGCCCTTAAGGTCAAGCGGTTGTTTGTACCAGTCTATGGGTATGCTAAACCTGCTTTGAAGGAGGTCCGCTGCGGGTCAAATGCCCCTGTCAATTAATTGTGAATGGGTTCAAAAGCATCTCAAACTGATGTCAAAGAGTGCCCTTTCACACATGTGCTCAGTAAAATGTGTATTTTACCATAACACGCAGTAGTGTAGTGCAGTTCCCAGTGCGGCCTGCGATTTCTGGAAAGGTGCAAGGACCATTTTGTGAGGCGTGGCAGCTCAAATGACTATGCTGCCAGGTCGCGGCCCGTAAAACGGCACTGGTGTGGACCAAACCTTGGTCCGTTGGTGCATTGCAGTGCCATTTATCTTCAATGCCAACACAATACCTCATATGTTGGGGTGCACTGCACTCTACTGCAAAGAATGCAGCGAGCACTACATTTTGATGTATTGCAGCTCATTTGTTTTGGATGGGGTGCCTTATGCAATGTGTCTGAACACATGAAAAAGTTTTCTTAAAGTATAGTGTGAATGGGCCCTAAATAATGCTTCTGTTTTTTTGTGTTGTTACCATCAGCCCATCATATTAATGGAGGGCCCTACCTGGTAAAACCTTGCTACATAAAGTGAATGGAATTATGCTTCTCAGTAATTTCATGTTGTTGAGCTATGTTTGCTTTGTGCTTTTTATAGGTTATATACAGAAAATCAAATCTGGTGATGAGGATTTTGAAGCTCTAGCCTCTCAGTTCAGTGATTGCAGTTCTGCCAAAGCTGGAGGGGATTTGGGAGCATTTGCTAGAGGTAAGTCTTTGTTTCTTTTTTACCTGTTACCTTTAAACTTCTTGTCCCATCATTTTTTTTTTTTTATTTTTTTTTTGTGTGTGTGTTGCCTTGTTCTAGGTTGACAGCTTACAGTCCTTTGTCAACTCTCCGGGAACAAGGCAACTTTATCTCCCAAGAGGTCCCTTTCCTACACACAGCATGTGGGCAGACTCTTTGGAGTCCACCACTTTATCAGTTATTTTTTTGTACTTAAGAGTTTAATAGATAACACATTAAGAAGTGGGCATTTTTTTTTTTTACCCCACACATAGTTTAACCGCTTTCCACCTGGCCACTGTACATGAACGGCCAAGTGGGACAAGTGTCACTGAGAGGATGCACCTGAACATCTTCTCAGACTCTGGGCTCGCGCACGGTCCTGTGATAGCTCTCTGATTGGCCTTTCCCGATCACGTGATGGCGGTTTCCAGTCACAGCTATCACACAATGTAAACAGGCACATGCCTCTGTACTGACTCTGTCTCTCTCTCACTGTCCAAGTGCACAGCAACATCTGTACCAGTGTCCCATCAACATTTGTCAGTGTAACAGTGCACAGATACATCTGTCAGTGTAACAGTGCCCAATCAACATCTGTAATGTCCCATTCCACCAGGGAAATCTGTCGGTGTCCCTGGTGGACCATCAACATCTGTCGCTGTCCCTAATGGGCTCTCCAAAAATGTGATAGGTAGTCAGGTAATTGGATTTTTTAGTATGTCTATGCCTTTTGCTTCTTGAAAGCCCAAAGGTGTTTCTTAGATTTTGGGCCCCTCTATGTAGCTAGGCTGTGCAAAAAATCTCACACATGTGGTATCCCCTTACTTGCGAGGAGTAGCAGAATGTGTTTTGTTTGTGTAATTGCAAGTATACCTATGCTGCGTGTGAGAAATAAGTTGTTAAAATGAAAATTGTGTGGAGGAAAAATACTAATGTTATTTAATTTTTTCACTTTCCAAAGGATTGTGGGAAAAACAATACAACTTGTAAAGTAATAAGAAAAACTCACTATGCCTCTTACTAAATAACTTGAACTATCTACTTTCCAAAGGGGTTATTTGGTGGTATTTGTACTGTCCCGTCAAAATTTTAAAACAAAAAAACTGTTTTTTTTTTTTTTCCTTTCAAAATTTTCAGTCTTTCTTTTATTTAGCAAAAATGTAAAAATCCAACAGTGATTAAATGCAACCAAAAGAAAGCTTGTATTTGTGTGAAAACATTATACAAATTTCATATGGGTACAGTATTGCATGACTTTTTTTTTTGTGCGTGTGTGAATGAGTAATTGTCATTCAAAGTGTGAGAGAGAGAGAGAAAAATTGGCCTGGGCAGCAAGGGGGTGAGAGTGTCCAGTATTGTGGTGGTTATTGGGTTATAGGATAACACCTAAAAAAAAAAAAAAAAAAAAAAAAGTGCTCTGTTTTTGTGGATGGATAATTGCCAGTACTACTCACAAGACACGATAGCTGTCTGTGGTGGATGTGAAATTAATTTTAAATAGCATGGTTCCTATAGCTACTTGCATCACTAAAATCAGAGATATGAGATGCATAGAAAGCTGTTCTTCATACCCAGTTCTTGCTCAGTTAGAATTCCAGCCATTGTCTGTTGTCATTGGCAAGCATATGGTTGGGATTCCCCCATAAGCCCAGGCCTGCACTTGGCTCTGCCTCTTGGCAATCCACTGAGAGCCTGAGCCAGCTGCTTCCGACCCCTCCACAGCCCAGCTCTCCAGTGAGCACTGGGGCAGGGCGGGGGGGGCAACTGTGGTGGTTTATGTAATTTATTCTAAATACGTAGGGCGGTGTCCTCTCCCTTAAACAAAATATCGCAGTGCCTCCAGCCGTTAAAATACGGCAAATATTTTAAGAAACCAATAATTTGGACACCTTAAAAATTTGTTCACCACTTAATAATTTACCTTGAGTTCTTTCACCAATATGATTTCGTACCATATACACAAAATTTTCCTTTTTGATAAATTTATGTACAAAATTTATATATGTATATTAATACAAACGCAAAATGAATATATATCCTTACACACAATCAAAGATATAATATACTAATATCTATATGGGATCACACACAATATATGATTTTCAAATAAAGGAAAACAAAATTTCGGGAGGTTAAGAGCAACCTATAGTGCTTCAGATATTATTTCTCATTTCTCGTGGCCATAGGGAAACAAGAAAATCTCTCTGATAATTAGCACCACACAACACTACAAATTAGTTAATATGCACTATATAACCTCAATACCAATATTCAAAAACAGTTATAGTTATAATAATTCAAAGGACCTTAATACATTCCTAACCACACAATAAAATGTATAAATCTTAGAAAGTTTGAAATGTCAAAGAAAATTACAATATACTAGCACAGTCTCACCACTCCCAGAATCTTGGTTTTGAGGCCTCCCCAGTGGGATGCAGTTGGGAAAATAAGTATTTCTGGGCAGTCAGGTGCCAGAATTTAACTGAGCATCAGCGTCTCTGGTGGAAATCTTTTCCTTCAAAATGGCAGCTGGAAGTTCTCAGCAAAATGGCCGCAGGTAGCAAGTGAGGTATAGTGCAGTATATATTAGCAACAGGGTAGATAAGAGATACTTTAGAAGTTATAGCAGTCTTAGAAGCTGTTGCAGAAGTTTTAGCAGATCAGAAGATTGGAAGGTGATGGATTGTAGATTTTAGAAGAGTTGTAGATTCATTTTCACTTTGAGGTGTCTGGCCTTTTAAACCATACAAGTCCTTTGTTCCGAGGGACTGCCCAACAGACTTGTTGATTGGACGGTTGAACAGTTTGCGTACCTAGAGGTGTTCCTAACCTGCCCACTGGGGACAGTCAGGTATTACAAATGAATTGGTGGTCTTAATGATGACTCTTTGATATCAGTAGTATGTCCTTATGGATCAAATATATGTCCTATTCAAGTATAGAGGATTTCACTACTAACTCTTGGATAAGGACCATAGAAAGATGTGAATATATTTGATTTCTCATTTTTCTGATATATGAACTGTATTGGGATGGTTGATTTCCTTTGGAAATATAGAAATTACCCAATTCACAAACCATCTTATATTTTTCACTTCAAACTTCCAACTTTGTTAAATACATTTTTCCTTGATGGACAAGTGTTGGTAATACACTTTTGATAACATTTCAGCTCATGTATCCCAAACTCTTTATTTTAAATGACCCAGGTTTCACCCTATACTGCATATACAGTTCAAGGAGATGTGACATAGGAAATTTCATCCATTGTTGGGTAATTAGGGTAAACAGACTGAACTGGAGTTAAACCTCAGCATTCAATAGTCTATTGTGACAGCTCAAGATGTTTGTTTGGTAATCACACACTTCCCAAGGTTTTGTGAGAGATAAGACAATGAGGATTTCCTCTCACCATTGTCACTTTGGGTCCAGGTATATGCTCACCTGCAGACATCCAGATAGTGGTGTTTGAATCGCATTGTCTCTTAGACCAGTTTCTTCCACTCATTGTGTGTGTGGTAACTTCTTGGAATCTCACTTGAAATTCAACCTAGAATGTTAACCCCTCACAGTCCGCTTAGAATCCCCCTATTTGGGATATCATTTTTCTTAATAGTCCAAAAGTCATCACAGAACAGAGCAGACAGCAGTCATTGACAGTCACAACTCTCTGCTCAGAGCGGCAGGGAGAACTGAGCGATTAGAGGTTTCTGATTGCTCGGTTCTCAGCCTTAGAGTTAGCGGAGGAAAGCTGCTACATCGGATCGATGCTGCATCCCCCTTGGTAAGTATAATTAAACAAAAAAAAAACCCAAACTTCTCTTTTAAAGCTATCACAGTGCCACAACTTCACTTCCAACTTGTGTGACTTTGAGACATATGCTGAAAGGATTGTTCTGTTTTGTTATGCTGTTTTCTTGCCTCTACTAGACTCCTTCCTTAAATGCCTATATCTATATTTGTGTCCTACAGGGGCCATGCAGAAACCATTTGAAGACGCTTCCTTTGCTATGCGACCAGGAGAAATGAGTGGTCCAGTGTTCACGGATTCTGGCATCCATATTATACTCCGCACAGAGTGAATCCTCTATCACCGGGGGGATCCTTGCCCTTTTTGGAGATAAAGAACAATGTGTGGGGAAGGAGCATTAGGGCAGCTGGGAAGGGATAGATTAGGCTTTAAAATACCTGGGGTTTCTTGTTCAGCGTTGCAGGTATGAGAGAGTCTATATACTGATGTAATGTGTAGCAGGTTACATCAGCTGTATATTAATGTTGAACATTTACAGCAAGGCATCCGCTGGAAGGGATGGGGTTATTCCGTAATATAAGGGGTACATATACATTCCCCATATGTGAAAGCTGACTAAGGGCTTGTACTTGCAAATGTTCCTCATTGTGACCTCCCCCCATTTGAGGGCTTCTGCACTTAGTAAGCCTTGATGCAATGTGGAAAGCATCCACCATAAGACTTTGCTCTGAGCATGCTTTCCAGTAGGTATTGCTTATCAGCAGGATTCTTCCAGATGTTCCTGATTAACATGGATTAATGGTCTTTATTTTTTTTATTTGTGACTCTGGGGGAGTTTATCATGTTGATCAGGTACTTACCCAGTGTATGTGATATCTGCAGCTTATTATTGGTCTAAATTTTGCAATGTTCCTGCATCCATGTGAGACATTTGGCATTGAAAAAAAAAGTTTCAATTTATAACAAGCACTCAAGTTGGACATGTCAGGAACTTGTTATAAACTAGTTCAACTTTAGCAGGGACCACAAGAGATGCCCAGTATCTCCAGTAAAAGTCATAGCTTTCAGATGGGGCCATGAGCAGTGAGGAACCTTATTGAGTATAGGCCCTAAAATGTAGGAATATGTTGTTACCATTTATCCTGTTGTTAATACCTCTTCCAATAGAAATGGCTTAGCTGCTTATCCTGAATGCCAGTTGTGGCTTTTGCTTCTACCATAATGTATTAAGCATCTGTTCCCGATTCTGCTGGATTTGGGCTATTAGTGGCTAGTTGCGAGGTTCTGGCATTGAGCTGCATCCTTTAACTGTGCATGTTAATGGGTTCCGTATTAGAGCAGTCATTCCATCGGCCTGTGAGCACTCCTAGGAATGATCCTATTTAGTCATCACTGTACAGTTTTGAATTTCCCCACTGAGCTTTTTTTGCAGATTAAGATTCCATTAAGGAGTAGCTGGCACCTCTTCTAATATTTATGAGATACTGGATTGGAATGAATCAATCAGTTGCTTTCACACTCGTTACTTCAGCCTGCAAAATAAGACTTTCCATTTTACGCATTGATGACAGATGGGCCTCTGTCTTTTATAGGCTTCGTTTTAAAATAAAATGTGCGGATTGTCAGCATGTGTTCTGCCATAGTGTGGGCTAAAGTGATCTGTATAAAAACATTGGCAGTTGGCTTAAGTCGTAGTTGGATGGTGGTTGGATTTTATCAGCCCTAATTAACGAACTTGTGCTAAATATTAATCGTATTACTCATAGCCACCAGTAACCTTCTGTGTGGGGAAAAATCTGCACTAGAAATATCAAGAACACAATGTGAATATGATTGCGCTGTGGGCAGCAGCTCTGTTTATGCATACTGTGGTGTTCATAAACCAGGCTCAGTATGTAAGCTTTGGACACCGTTTTATAAAGTGTTTCCACTTCTATCTAGAAATGGCTATTGCTTTAGATCTTCAATTTAGTGACATGGAGAGGTCCCACTGCATACAACTGCACTCCGCTTCACTCGTAACAGCAGGATGCTCTTCTTCCTGTTGCATCCATTGCTATGAAAGGCAAAGGCCGTCCATCTCAAACAGAAACCATTGGGGCAGTGTGTGTTGGTGATTGATTTGGGCTGCCTGACTATTGCTTGTAGATCTGTCTGTTTTGTAGAGATTCACATAATTCAGGAACAACTAAGTTACATGATTGGTCAAATCTATCACTGTATGTTTAGGTGAATCTAAAAATTTGCAGATTTACCTGATTTGCTAAATGGTTTGCGCAGGTTGTCATAGGTTTCCTTTCCATGAAATCTAAAGAACCTTTGGACAAAATGAAGTAAAAAATGTACATTGTATGTTGTCTACTGGCTTCTGCATGCCTAGTTTGGTTGTCTATATAATACCTCGACTTCCTTGAATCGTGCTGTCCACTGTTGTGCGATTGTTGACCTTGCACCTCCTCCTCATCCCATACCGTGCAAGTTGCTAATAGGCCATAGATGATGTTTTTTTTCCTTTCCTGCAACCTGAAAATCGCTTGATTTCTCTATCAACACAGTCAGTGTTGATGGGGGGAATCTCTTCTTCAGAGCTATTGTAATCTCTGGACGAGAAGCCCTCCCTGCCGGGAGAACACAGTGATTATTGCTAGCAGCTATATCCACTGGCAATTGCATGCTAAAAATCAGTGGATCAATTTGGATACAATCAGCCTGCGCTTAGATGAGATCTGAAGCATCCATGGCTAGCTTTAGGCTGCATGTTCTAGTGATGGGCTGAAGGACATAAAGGAGGAGCTATGGTATTGACTGTGATATCTGCTGTGCGCTCCTTGGAATTCTGAGGGCCCAGGTTTTTGTATAGGAAAATTGATGAAACACAGGCACCTGGAATCGACCATTATACGATAGAAGTGTGTATGTTTTGTCATGGCTGGAGGTTTGCTTTAAAGCGAAGCTCCATCCGAAAGGGGAAGTTCCGCTTTAAGTACTGCTGCCCCACTCCCCATTAAGGATTGGCACCTTTGGTAGGCGGGAAGGGGGGGGTTGACAGGTACCCGCTCCCACTTCCAGTCTGATCGCCTAGGCAATCAGAAACAGAAGGTGTCCTCCCTCCCTGTAGTCTTTTGGGACACGTGACAGGTGCCAGAAGACTAAAGGATCATGATCATTCATGAAGTGCATCACTACTCGTGCATGCTCAGTGGGTACCGTCTGTGAAGCCGCAAGCTGTCACATCCGGGTGTCCACACTGAAGATGCCAACCTCTTGGAATACAGGATGGCCAGTGAAACAGGCTGTGGGGGACACACCACGGGACCGAGATGTGGTGATGATATTATAAGTGGGATTTTTAGGTAAAAAGTGTTCCAAATTTTCATATACCCTTGCTTGGTTACGACTGACCTCACATCCTGTAACTATCTTTCATAATTGTATGTTTAAGGGTCCTTTTTAGACAAGTGCCATCCAGTCCATTAGGGTAATCGTTCACGTAACTGGGCAGAAAGTATGTCACTATTACATCTAGACATTCGTGTCTATTCAGTGTTTTGTTGTGTGAGCTTAAAAGGCCCATGCTAGGTCTATGGGCAGGCAGACTTGCATCTGTTTACATCAGGTTACCTCTGATCCATCATGTTTAGGTCCTGAAAAACTAAGAATGAACTCGGAGGTAAGTGGATGTAAACTGCCATATATTCATTTATATCTGCCTGCTCAAAGAACTACATGGCGTAACCAACTGACATTGGAACCTAACCGGAAAGCCAAGGACCGTAAACCCAGCATAGATCTACTCAGATACAACTACTACTTTATTTACTCAAAGTGACTAAAGGAGAAAGTAAGGCAGGCATTGTTCCTTTATTTGAGGAATGCACTCTGGTCATCTGCTGAGAGACGGTTCTCCTTGTTCCCTAGTGAAATGGAGAGGAAGAAATGGGTGATGTCTCTAATGTGGACAGACAGTAATATCATTTTTCTTTAATTTAGGGAAGGGATTAGAACCTGTGTCAAATGGTTTTTAGTCATCTGCCATTCTGTTTCGGTGACACCCACTACACTCATATTTTGTCTGGTGTCCTAGCTCAGAAAGTGAGCTGATCTCTGATGGCTGCTAATGACTATTCTGATCCCCCTCCCCCAATAAATCATAAAAAACAAAACAGTGTTCTGGAGTTGGGCGTTAATGGTAAAGAAATACTTAAGGGGTATATGAAGGTGGATCAGGTCCAGCTTGTGTGGAAGGTAAGGCCTTGTGGCATAGTTTTGCTGATCTGCTGTTCTAAAGGTCAACAGCCAACGCTTCCAGTGCTGCTGCAGTAAATGTTTGCCCATCAAAGTCTTTGGGAGTCAACTGATGTGTTTGTTGTGGGAGACTAAGCCCCAGTTCACATATATGCGGCCGTACGGGCCGCATTTTGCATGGGCATGAGAGCCCATTCATTTGAATCGACTCCCGTTCCCCGTGACATGCAGTGAAGTCCCTGCTCTTCTTCCGAAAACGCAGCCCGCACGGGAACTAAGCCCGCATTAGAACTAATGGCACCCGCCCACAGGTCTGCATTTCTCTGTGCGGGTGGTGCGGCTGCATGGATTTTTGTGCAGATCCACAGCGGCACCACCCGCACAGATGTGAACCTAGCCTAACTGAGTGTAGAGCACTCTGAACTCACTTTTAAAAATAGAAAAAAAAATGCCTTTTTGCTGTTCAAAATAGTTTTGGGGCTGATTAGTGTACTGAACTGGATTTGCACTAGGATCTGGTGCAGCTATAATCCCTGCTAGTGCTATGGGTGGTGCACATGTAAAGAATATAGCATAGTGTAGTCTTTTATACACTAAACAAAAGTTTCTTTCCAGAAATAAACTCGCTCAGAGCTAATGACACAATTATAAATATACCAAGTTTCACCATCATTGCCTGATTCTGCTTTGCATTGACCTCTGTTTCCTGTTTGGTTGTTGGACAGTGAATTTGGTGGTGTGATGATTTAGATTCATGGCCCGTTTTACAGAAAGGCGACACGAGAAGTAGGAAAGTGGCAGTGTCAGAATATTGGCTCTGCAGTGTAGCAGGGGTGTGTTATTCATAAATGGCTAAACAGATTTACAAATCCTCTGCCTGGTGAAACTGTCCATAACTGGAGTGTTAAAATGTCTTCTGGAATTCAATTTTAAGTCATTTATAAAGTTCTTCTGCAAAGATTCCCATCAGTTTCCTTTCTCTGATTGTGCCTCTTCCATTAAAGTAAATGCATGAGCACCCAAATATCTTTACGGAAGAGAATTTCCATACAGTAGAAGGGCCAAAGTCAGCAGGGTCAGCAAGAC